TCCCCAGCGCCGACTCAGACGTTGCCCCCAGCCACGTCCCCAGCGCCGACTCAGACGTTGCCTGCAGCCGACTTCCCGGCGGAGGTCTCGGCCACAGATACAAACACGACCCCAGTGCCTCCCACATCACAGCGCACGTCTTCGGTGTTCCTGTCCCCTGAGCAAACGACTCCTTCCTCTTCGCCTTGCCCCGTCCTTCGACCTGTCCGATCCTCTGGTTCCGCTGCGCCTCCATCCAACGCAGCGTCACCACAGCCACCTCATACCACCTCGTCCGTATTCCTGTCTCCCGACCAAACGACTCCGCCATCGTCGCTGGCACTCGCTTCCCGCCCTTCTCCCTCCCCAGCCTCCTCCCCGAGCCCAGCTCCAGCTTCAGCCAGCCCTGCGCGTCGGGCACGTCGTCGGTGTACCTCTGTCCCGGGCAGGGCCCCGGCGGCGCCCTCCACCGCCGCCGCAGCCGCGCCGCCACCGGCCGTCGTCCAGCGCACTTACGGCGAGCGCCAGCGGCCGCGGCCGGCGCCGGCGCATGACGAACGCTGACCGAGTACGGCTACGAGTTCCACCTGCGAGAGGGCACGGCCGGCCAGGGGGCGCCGCCGCCACCGCGCCGACGGAGGACGGCTTCGCCGGCGTCAGGGACCCTGCTGACGCCGCCGGACAGGATCCGCAGCGCCAAGGGCACGGTCAGGGGCGTGCGAAACCGCGTTGCGCGCCGGCATCGCCACCTTCCTGTCGGATGGCGCACGCGCCAAGGTGAGGAAACTGTGGGAAAGACGTTGGGTGGGATTGAAAGGAGCATGGCTCTGGAGAGACCGGGCAGGGATATCGGGCTCAAGTGCTTACTCGTTTCCTTAGCGAAGGACGTTTTGGACGCAAGGACATAAATATCGTGCAATGATCGACTTGCACGACACGTTTGGTCTTTGTTGCGTCAAATACGTAGCTGGTGAGCATCACGTACCCTATAAACACACAGCGCGCAGCCTGAAACGGTCTGGCCTTGGTTTTTAACCGGAGGTTTACGCTCCGCCGCATGATGCATGAAAGCCGAGACTGTTACCGCACCAAGCGTGTCTTGTGCACACCACCAGCCACTGGAAACACTAGGACTAGCCATCATAACTCCCGTCGGTGGAGTCGGAGCGTCGAAGGCGGGGTGGATGTAACTGCGCGTCGGCTCGCCACGCTTCGACGCGTGCGCCGCCAGGCCTGAGCGCCAGCGGGCGCAGCCTGGCAGTCTCGCTTCTTCTCCGGTCAGGATTCGGTTCGAGGGCCCATCTGGCACGTCGTTTGGACGCTTCTGCAGAGGGGAGCGCCGTCGTGCAAGTTAATCCGAGCTGGCATCTGACCATCGCTAATGCGCCACGAATGTTAGCCGGCGCCGCTGGCGATAGCGGGCTCCGGACGATCCGCCGGCAGGATAAGCGCCCCGTCATGGTACCGGGCTGAACGCGGCCGCCCTGGTCACGGACGCCCGTCAGCTGAATGGGCCGCGCGCGATGCCGCTACGCGTGTCGCACTTCCGAATGGGGCCGCTTTAGACCGCGAAGCCTTCACATTCTCGTGGCGTGACATTGAGGGCACCGGCCACCTGACCTGAAGCGCGAGTCGTGCCGCTGACCGAAAAGGGGTGTCATTTGGGGCGCTCGCCGTAGTGTTGCACTACTTATATATCGAGGACCATCGCGGTCGTTTTGTCTTTCGTTTCCTCTCGGGTTCAGTGTTACCGAGCACTTGTGCTGTCATAGGTCGCGCCGCGCAGCTGCCATATGTCACACCATCACTGGGGATGGTGTGCCATTCTGCTCAGACCGAACCGGGTGCGGGATCCCGCGACCCCTACGGCCATTATTCATTCAGGACCCCGCCCATCGCTCGTATTTGGCGGTCCAGTGTAGCGGCGACACTGCTGGAATCCACCTGCCATACATTGTCATGACTGCTGCTGACGTAACTTTTCGCTGAGCTGAGCTGACTGCCTGTCCAGATAGCCCGCTCCCAGTGTCGAAAGGTCAAGACCTGCGCGTACAGAGGGAGCGATTGTTCCACTCGAGCCAATCGCTGTGTCGTCAGCTCACGGAAGGCATCTCACGATATGACTAGATATGGTCTGCCATCAGTGTCTACGGGCAGATGCTCTTATCGTCCTGATACGCTCTCCTGCAGTAGATGTTAGGGACATTCTGGGAACTCGCTCATGCTCGCCATCGAAAAGAAAGGCATTTGAACACGTTTCTGCGCTGTAGTTAAAAAATAGCAACGCATTTACAAAGAAAATCCCTGGGTGGTCGACAGCGCAAAGCTTTTCCTTTAACTCAAGATGAAGACAGCCGATTGTATGCCAGCAGCCAGTAGGTAAAATTGTTGGTGAGGGTAACGGTACTGGTCAGAGTCAATGCACGCCGCTCTGAATTGTGATGTAACCGAGGCAAAATATCAAGAGGGGTCATGAAAAGATTGACACGATTAAAGCCATGCGCTGCAGGGAGTCGTGTTGTGCTAGTTCGATATAAACATTATTTCTGATTTTTTTAGGCGATTGCTGGCAAACTTGCAGAATCATCACGAATGTGCAGTGTAAAGCGTGACACATAGCTCAGATATTTTGTACGGCGGGCGCACGGAAAGGCGGCCTGCAGTGGCACCAGCCCACAGAATCGCCATGAGAAGGTCTTCTGCAGTGAATGCCGGGGCTACCGCGGGAGCTCTCCCGCCGCTCACCGCCATCGGGGTCCGTCTCCCGCGGACCGTTCTCAGCAGAGAACGCGGTCTGCACACACCTGCGGTCATCGAGAGGCACGTGGCACGATACGGGCCCCCATGCTCTGCTGAGAGCTGTTGGGACGAGACACGAATCCAAGGACACTAGCGATTGTTACAAAAGAAAATGCTGTCTGTTAGAATGCTGTCTTTATACGATTTACCGCATTCCCTGACAACAGCTGAGAAGAAAAAAACATTCAGCTGAAATTGGCCTTTAGTGTCATGTTGTTTCCAATATTGTTGAAAATAATAATGATAATGACTGATAATGACAGCGAGCAATGAAAATGACAATAACTGATAATGACAGCGAGCAATGATAATGACAATAACTGATAATGACAGCGAGCAATCGTCAGCTACGTTAGAAGGTCCATCAGCGCAAGCTTAGCGGGCCTGCGGGTGCAGCCCACCCGGAATACCCATAGGCCAAGTTTTTGTTTCGCTACAGTGGAATCGATTCATTTCACAAACTGATGTGAGATGGGAGTCGTGTCGTCTCTACCGGCCGAAATCAGCGCTGAATCGACTCAAACCGAACTGAAAGCAGCAACCGATGTGCTTATTCCGACAAGTCTTTCAAGCGGAGCAGACGGACCTCCAGATATGCTGTTTTTGTCTTAATCGAATGTGTGCCGTGCGCAGGGTCCTACAACAGGCTATCTAGCCAGCTATCGCAACCGTGGTCGATCCATCGGAATCAGCTTGGTGTTGAGCCCTGCCTCCTTGGGTCTACAATGGAGTCGACTGAAATTGGATTGTGATTCTCGAAGTCAGAGCCTGGATCGATATAATGCGCTGCCGGTCAGAGTCTAGAGGCGCGCAGTGGACGAGTTGTTAACGCACTGGACTCCCGTGAGGGGGCTCGGGCTCAAATTCCGGCTGCACCATGGTCTCCGAGCGTTGATAAGGGAAATGCGGTCGCTGGTGCTCCATAAAAAGGGATGTGACGGTGTGTCGCGTTCGCGCTATTAAAAAGAGCCAGAGTCCATTCTGCAAGAGTGGAATTCTGCGTCAGTGACGTCAATTTGCTTTTACGATTTTGAATTCCCTTCTTTGGCGCTGACAGCGTGGTGTTCCACTTGCTCGAAGCTCCCAGCAGAGCTGCACCTGGGGTGGCCTGCCGCGTGGC